AACCATACATCTGCATCATTGTTTATTTATCTATTACAATCTTAGGACTGAAAGTCAACTTATTTTTAGGAGTAAATTGGCTAAGGGTAGCCAAAGTCTGACCTTTATCCAGTAATGAATTGATAAAACCTATAAAGTTGATAATGACTTGCATAAATATTCGTCCGTTAAAAAGCCTTCACAAATTTATCTGTCACTATAGCCCAAACCTTTGGAACATTACCCAGTACATGCATAGAAAAGAATCAAAGACATTTGAATAAAATAAATGAAATAAAAATTCAAACCAATTGGCACCGTCCACATTAATGTTCAGTATTAAAGCAATGCAACTGCTCATTGGTATTCTATACTTACAACCCTAGCATCAAACTGATGTCATGAAGCTGTATTACCAGAAAGGTAGTAATACTAACTCTGTATTGGGACACATCTTGAGGTAAAGAAGTTCTATTGCTGGGTCACTGCAGTATATCAACCTGTTCACCTTCTCTCTCAGAAATATGAGGAGGTGAAACATTTTTAACCATCTCATGTACAACACACGTGAAGGCAAAAGTTGAGATCACGCATTGGAATTTGGACTGCTGCAGGATCCTGGGTTCAGACATCAGTTTTGAAATGGATTTTAATATGCAGGCACTATTCAGAAGGTGCACATATTCAGGGTGGCATAGTGGATAGTACAGCTGCCTCACAGCTCTTGGGTGATATTTTATTGAGTAGACATGACATTCATAAATTCATTATGCTGATGACAGTTATCATCAACAGGGTTGATCAAATTGAAGTCACAGGCCAGTAGAGTGTATCAATCCTGCATTTGATTCCAGACTGTATGGAGTTTGCATGTTCTATCTACTGTATGTTCACATGGTTTTTCTTTGTGTTCTCTGTGTCCTCCCACACCTGAGGAAATGTCTCTAAATTGGATCTGTGTGCTTGTGTATGGCCCGCAATGGAGTCCCTACCCTTTTATGCTATATTTCTGGGACAGGCTACGGGTTTCCCTTTGTTTTATGACTCTCAGTGGGAATAAACATGACTAAATATTGTAATATGTAACACATCTGTACATAGGCTCTTCTCTGTGAAGTCAATGTAGGGCTTCAAGTGTACCAAGGGTAGAGGGTGTACCAAGTACCAACTTGGACAAATGAGTTGTCTCCAGTGTGCTGGAATGTACAGGGAGGCTGGAATACGTACATGTACCTCCTATTTCCTCCCTTGCCTGTTACCTGAATTCTGTCTTATTGAAGTGGATGTGCCACAAGACAATGATATACTGTACAGTACTGTACCTGTAAATGAGTGTGGTTATATATTGATACTGATTACTAACAAAAAAGCACTAACACAATATCAATATTCCTTGTTAATGTGGTCAGCTACATATCATCATAATATGAGCTCAGAAGTGCCAAGTGCATGATAAAGCAGATTTTGTCCTAAACTTCACAGATATGCTGAATACAACAGAACAGTTAAGAAACTTTTAAGTCTTATTCCACTCTCCTCAATGTAACGGATAAGGGATTAAATAGAAAAAAAAGAGCAAAAAAATAGAAAAGCATATTCTAAAAGCCCAATTTCACAGGACATGATGTTATCCTTACTGTTATGTATTAACATTAGACTAACCCACTTATTAATCCATTATGCTTTTAAAGATATGTTTATTCCAGTTCAATAGGAACTGAACTCAGTATAGATACAGTAGGTAATGAATACAGGTTGTCAGATTTATGCTGTACATTCTATTTGGTTAGACACAGGTGATTTAATTTTTTACTGTGTTTGAATTTTACAAGTTCACTAGCTTTTTGTAAGGAAATTTGTAGATTCATTTTCACAAATACAACAAAATACAACATAAACATAAAAATAACCATACTTCACCCAACACATAGCCCTTTCATTGATCTTGCGTCTGTGGTACTATCTTCCACGTTTCTCACTAAGGGCCTCTAAAATGTGGTCAGGCAGCTACAAAGAAGGCTCGATTCAACAAAGCTTTGAATGTATCATGTTGCATTTACAGTATGTACAGTATATTGCATTTCCACAAGTTACCCTTGAATTTAATAAGTAAACAGCTTAATGAAGAGAATGTAGTGTAGAAAGAAAGGCTCTGGAATTGTAACTACCAGGTTGAAGGTTGAAAATACTCCTTTCCACCCTGCTGTTGTACCTTGAGTGAGGTATTTTACTCTGATGGATTCAGTCCTCCCATCTTTATGAACATGGATAGGTATTTGCTAGGGCAAGCTTTCTGATGGAGTGGAGCCCCATCCACAACCCTACAAACCATAAATTAGAAACACATGAACCAGATTTGCCACACCCTACGACTTCTGGTTTTTGCAGTTGCCTTGCCTGCCAAAAGTTCACTAGCTCTGAAATATTTTAAATTCACCTCTACTTGTATTCAAAAATCTTGCTGCAAAAAAATAAAAAAAGAGAACACGAGTCACAACATTCCAATTCAGTCCCAGGAAGCAAGATTGGTTGTTCCAGCAAGCTGGAAGTCTGAAGTACATTTTCTGTGTACATATTCTACCATTCATCAAATGACTGAAATTACACAGATATTAACTGAAAATAGCCAGAAAAACTGGGGAAAGGAATGTGATTTATGATAGCAATCTGGTACTGTGTGCCTTCTAGACTAAAAAGAAATCATGAAAATTGGAAAAAAGGGTTGAGTGCTTAATGGGCATCATTAGAACAATTTAATGTAAATGTGCAGATGACAAAGAATGGGCAGTGGGAGTTAGGTTAAGAGTAATTTTCCATTTGTCAGATCCCGAGGGTGAAATTCGGCAATGGAGTAAATTATACAGGTGCTCCAAGTCCGGATCTTTCTGGTTTAACTCTCAGTGAAAGATTTTTTTTTAAATACAACATTTTTATCAGCACGAGTAAACTCAGTAACCTAACACAGTTGCTCAGTGTTTCTGGCATAAACATTTTGCTGAAAGGCAGCACAATTATTTGGTGTCAAATATGAACCAACTTTGGCCTCACTCCTGAGAACTGTGTCACAAACCAAAACCATACCAACTGAATACTGCACAACAAATCCAACTAATGCGTGTTATCTAGGAAAACTGTTTTCTAATATATTTTTATATATGTTGAATGTTTTTGTAAATCATCTGTTCATCTTACATGCCACAGAAGCATCGGTGTATTAGTATAATGAACTGGAGTCAGTACACACAGAAAAGAGATCTAAAGGCAGACTTCTTCAGTATTTCACATATATTGTAAAAACCTTTGGTTCACAAAAACAAGATCTACCGCGATGAGGGATGACAGAGCCTAAAATTTCACATCTTAATAACTTGCGCTTTTCTGACAGCAAGATACTTTGATATAGTACTGCTGTCATGCCTTCACCATAAATCAAACACTGTGGTCAACAGTCCGGAATAGGACAAAATGGAGGACTTACCTGGAAATTGCCAAAGCAGCTGCCTCCAGGTAAGGTGACGTAGCAGACGAAAGGGGGGCTGGGGGAGGAGACGCATTCATACACCACCAGGCTCTCGGGACGCACCAGAACTCCACCCGTCTGCTTCCTTTTCCAGAACTCATGCAGCATCCCCACCACGTTCACTGCCAAGTACATTGAAAACAGTCAGCGCAAATCCCTGCACGTCTGTCCAGGTGGTTTGCTGCAGTTAGCTGGTTGAATCCTCTTACTTGCTTCTCACTAAAGTTCCACAGTGTAAAGGATTTTGGGCTGTACCATTGCTATTTTTAATAATTCCATACTGTTGGTAACACTCAAGGTGGTTATATCTCAAATAAACAGTATGAAATTATTAATAATAGCAATGCTAGAGCCCAAAATCCTTTACACTGATCAGGCTGATCCTGATAGATTTTAGAAGCTACACAAGGTTAGATCTGGTCAGTACTGGGATTGGAGACCTTCATGGAGACCCAGGTCGCTGTTTTATGTGGTGTTGGTGGACCACTAGGTGGCACTCTTCACTCTGAACAAGAGTTTCCTGTTATGCTGACCAGGGACACTGTGATGGTGAAGACAGCCATCTTTCAGACAAGACATTAAACTAAGGTCCTGACCACTTTGTCAATGGAGATCCCATGACGCTGGTCCTAAGGGTGAAGGTGTTAACCCTGGTGACCTAGATAAATTTCACTCTGGACCTGTACAATCTGAAGCCTGACCATTCTGATGTTCCTCCATGATTCAACTGGTGAAGCAATTTCTTATTTTTCTACCTGCTCTGCTTTGTAGTGGGGCTGCATTTCAATGGTGGTTGAAGAGAGTTCCCAGACATAGAGTATGTAATGTTTTGAGATCCCTTGTGATCGAAAGGTGTAATGAGGGGCTATTTAAATGCTTTTTTTTTGCACTCTTTTGAGATCTATAAAGAAAAGGAAAAAGATTCTCATGGCTATGTTTGTTGTCTCCTGTCTGATGCAACATTTTGTGTTGTTTATAGACTCTGATTCACCTCTGGTTTAAAATGGAACCTTACCATCAAGAGGAGTTGGACGTGGTGCTTGGGCTCTCATGGTCTATCAGTCTGCCCCATGTCTTTCTTTAGTTCTGATTGCAGATACAATATAACCTGTCCTTATCTGTGTGCTTGTTCGTAGTTTTAATTTTCTTAAAATCTTAATTCAGAACTGTCAGTGTTGAGTTCCATCCATTGCAAAGTATTTAGCCTACTTGTTGTTTGTTTTCACTTTCTTCTTCTTTTGTAAATATTTTTCTGCCCCAGAACATTTAGTAAATGGACACTTGTTTGGGACATAATTTTGGTTTCCTGTGTAGTTTTTATGTCTCCTGTGACCACCTGTTTACTTTTGGCTATTTGGTTTAGTCCAAAGCTCTGGGTTCCTTACACATTGCAAATATATTCAGACTGGAGTCAGTGATGACTCTAAATTGTGTCTACGTGCCCTGTTGAGGTTGCTGTGCCAAATCATGTTAGACTCCTTATATATATATACAGTAACCTTAATCTATCTATTTACACAGTATATGGCTCTGCAGGTCACATTTAAACAAGTAATTTTGACTATGACTTGCACTACTTTGTTTACTGGGAGTCCCCAGTAACAGAGAACTGATACAGTTGGTGAGTTCAAACTCAACCTTATCAACAGAGTAGTTGGATCAATTTAATCAATGTTATCCAAAGATACCATTACAAAGGCTTATGTTTGAAAAAAAGCACTGAGCAATCTGAGCAAATCCAAATACTAATGAATCCTCAGGTGTGGTGTGACAAGAATTCATGATGAGCCATTTATCTGATACTCTGAGAGGCATTAAAAACACAAATAATGCTACAGGTGTAAATACTCATCTGTTATATTTTTAATGTCTTTCAGTATTGGTTTGTTTGAAAATAAATGCTGTAGTGTGGAACTGATAATGTGGAATCAAACAGAACTTCCACTTAAACTCAGCCTTTTCTACCAAATGCTAAAATCATTGTAACAGAAGAATAAACTCAGGCATTTCTTATTTTCAGTTTTTTTTAATGTACGAACGTTGTTCAGTTTGTGGTTGTCATTTTATGCCTAATTTCATTTTTTAAGAAGAGTTACGTGGAAGAGGAGGCCATTCGGAACTGTCTTGGAGGCTATAGATAGAAACCAAATAGAAAAAGCTCTCTGTGGTGTCCTCACCATTTACATTATTTTGACTCTATCCTCTACAAACTACAGTTATGATCATACAACGATAAGTCTCCTATCAGTATAAACCACCAAATGCTATGCCACCAGCTAATCCCACCTCTGTTTCATGTACTGTAGTGCACTTTAAAGTACGTATGTGCAATATATTATTGAGCACAATAATGTAAGCACATGTATGATCCATCTTAACAAGTACAATTATATTTATAACACATACTAGAACATTCTGGGGATAAGAATCTTAAAAACTACATTCTTTTCAGGCTGTAAACCTCTAATAATCAGCAAGACCACCAGTGTCTAGGTTTTTACACAACACATTTTTAAATCATAACAGCTGTTTCTCATACTGATTAAAGGGATCTTTAAACATAATTTTTACTGTGTTCACTGTGTATAATATGGTACTTAAATTGAAATATTTTTCTTACCATTGAACTAGTTAACAATTACCATTTGTAATGATTTTGATTGTGTTCACATACATTATATTTAATATGATTGATGATTGTGAATGTTTCCTATAGTTCTAACTTTCACAATATAATAAAGTATTTCTGGTCCTTTGAACTACATACTGTATATAAAAAACTTTACTGTATAAGGTCTAGCAACAGTCAAAGAATAAATAGAAAAAAAGTACATTTTAGACATCATATTACTTTCTTAACACTTTTATTTACAAAACGGAATTATCTTTTTTTTCATAACTTCATAAATGTCTTTATCAATGTTTTCCAAATTACTTTGGACATGCTGATTAGATTTTAGCTGGTATCTTTTGAAATGATTTTTAAACATTACACATCAACTGCTCCCCTTAAAGTGTTCCCAGCTTTTTATTGACATCTTAAGGATCCAGCGATCACTGACAAATTCTCTTTGTGTTTAACATAATTAATACATATGAGTGTGATAGAAATATAAGTATTAAAGATAAATGGTAGGAAATAATATTTTTTTGTATTATTCAATTAAATATTACCTGCTATTACCACTTGTTATCTTATTGTTTTGTTCCATTAATTTGTATGCTCTCCCCGTGTTCATGTGGGTTTCCTCTGGATGCCCTAGGTTCCTCCCTCAGTCCAAAGATGTACTGGTCGTTTAACTGGCTTTTGTAAAAATGTGCCATGGTGCGAGTGTGTGCGTGTTTGTGTCTGTGTGTCCTGTGACGGACAGGCATTCCATCCAGGGGGTATCGCACCATGCACCCAATGCTCTTCAGAATAGGCTCCGGGCATGTCATCCATGATTTTGACATTTGTACAGGAGATGAAAAAATGTGACATATGTGACAAATGTGTTTTGAATCCACCCACAGCTCAATCGATTGTTAAAACAAAACACTTTTAAACATTATTATGTGAAAATTCAAGAGTGATTGTACTTACTGATTTAAAATTTGAGTATTACTCAGGAACATAAAAGGGAGAAAACTGACAGAAGGTACAATCATTCCTGACCAATCAGTGATCATACACAGATTTTTAGTTTGCTCCACGTAACGTAGTTATTTTCTGGTTTCACAATTTTAACTAAAGTATAATAAGAAGGTGCAAGGGCACAGAACTAGGGAAGTTGTAGGTCAATCTCAAATTGTAGGAAAGCATTTGAAAAAGTAGCATGAGAAATCTCTGTACACCAGTTGTGCTTACAACTTAGGGCTCTGAGTTCCCTTCATACTGTAAACAGTATGTGGGTTGTAACTTACAGCTGGTAGCATAGAGGTTAAAAATTCTTAGGCATTATTGACTTTTGATTGGTTAACAACAAGTATTATCATTACTCAAGAAAAATGGTCTGCCAACCCTGAACTGTGTATAAAAAGCTTTGATAAGATTAAGATTCAGAAAATTCTGATTGTCTTCCAGAGGGTGGATGGAAAACTAGCATAACTTTATAATTTGATAATCACTCTCTGGCAGCATAGACAGCTTCTCACACCATTTTTATATGGAGTTTGACAGACAGTCCTCACTTTATAAAAAGAGCTAGGTGACGATTGAAATTCAAATATTTGGACCATATACGGACACAGACAGTTAACATCACAGATGTGTCTCTGGTAAAAACCAGGTCGATTTAGTCTATTGTTTATTGTTCTGGTCTGCAGCCAAGGTATTTTTCAATTTCTACACGCCATTACAAGAACCAAGGAGAGGAAGTACCAAGCTGTTAACAACCATCAATTTGTCTTTAGGGTTTAGACACAATTTAAGCTTTTGAAGAAAAGCCAATTTCCCTGAGGCCTACTTCATAACAGAAACAATGTGCTGGTTGAATCTGTACTTCACCTACACAGTAAAGTCTACTTTTTTAATCTTTCCTTTTTGAAGTTTACATAAAGTTTTGTGTCAGCAACTTTGAAATTCAAATTGTTTTAACAGCTCTAGCTTATAATTCTGAGTTACATTTCTGTACTATGAATTACATTTGATTTCCCATCTCATATTTCCTCTCAGTTGCTAACTAGCATTTTAAAGTGTCCCTTTTTTTCAAAACGTTGCTTTTCCAATTTATTCTTCAGTAACACATTTTGTCAGGAACAAAATGTTTTTAAGATCACATGAGCAAGGTGCAGCTGACATTCTTAACACACTCTGTGTTCAAATTTGCGTAGAGTATTACTTAAAACTGTGAAGAATTTCAGAATATATTGTTTGCATCTCTGATGCATCATCCATTTTATCGTTCATATTTTCATTTCCATAGCATCCTAAAATATTTCCATGAACATGAGAAACTAAAAAAAACAATTAGGACAACAAAAGACCATGATTCCTTCTGTTCGTAACTTCTTTCTAATTTTTAGTTTTTTGTTGTAATGAAATCTGAACTTTGCTTTGGGTTCACCTCTAATAACCCCCTGATAATGACAGAACATTTGGGACACATCTATTTCAAATTTAAAACATGTTATTTCAGAGCTT